ATAGACTTAAATGTTAAAATTGTCCCTGTGTTTTATTCTTTTGGCCAATTTAGTCCCCGTGTTTTTAATTTGGTCGATTTAGTCCTTGTGTTTTACTTCGTTAGTCAATATTGTCCATTCCATTAAATTGTTGTTTAAAAAATTCATAAATTTTATTTAAACTAATTAAAAATCTCTAATTATTTAATAAAAAATTAAATTTCAATTTAAAAATAAAAGACCAGCCACCACATTCCAGGGGGAAGTGGCTGGGTGGAATCGCTCGTGGTGGTTTGGTGTTGGCTGCTGGAGAGAAGAAGAGGGTTTAGAGGTTGGGTTTCCAAAAAAATTTTATTTTGTTAATCTTTTTGTTAAGGGAAACAAAAATAAGCATAAGGTAGTGCAGCAATAGGCTAGCGGGTAAGCTTAATAAGATAAAGGATAAGCATGATTGCAAGAGCCAACAATCCATTTGTTCCTGTTCATCCTTCTTTTCAGGGCTGTCGGGGCCCTTTTGCTCTTGCTAATGTTTTTATCCACCCCATGGATTGTATTATGGGCATGTAGAAGGGACTGGCGGCGTTGATGCAAATCGGAGAACTTTTTATTAGAGGGTTGAATCGGTGGTGATCAATCGGAGAACTTGAGGCTTGCAGGCCTTTATTTTGTTAATCATTAAAGTGAACTTGTAATTATTTATTTATTTATTTAAAACGATTACAGTTTTTTTATTAATTTTTAAAACTTTAATGAACTTTTTTAATAATAAATTAACGGAATTGACAACATTAGCTAACGGAGTAAAACACAAGGACTAAATCGGCCAAATTAAAAATACAGGGACTAAATTAGCCAAATGGTTAAAACACAGGGACTATTTTGACATTTAAGCCTAAAAAATATAAATAAATAAATAACCTTTTATTGACAAAAACTATCTAAACTTTTTTGAACAAACAAATATTTACCGAATACTCTTACAACGGGTCAAAGTACCCAAGCGAAGTTACACCACTACAATGGTCTAACAACTATTGACTGACCTAATAAAGCGCAAGGAGCTACACCTCCACTCACTGGAAAAGTCATTATAGATGTTAAGATGCACTCTAGATGTTCGATGAAAAGCCTAAACGAGGTCTGTGCATGCCTTCTTCTTTTTTAAATCCTAGTTGAAATGATGCCATTTTAGGCTAGAATTTTTATTTTAATAAAAAAAGACATGGGCTGCCATTTCTTGGGCTTTAACCTATTTCTATCTAGGGGCTGCATAAAAAAGGACAAAAGGCTTTTTAAACTTTAGGGCTTTTAACAACAATACTTTCTTCTTCTTCTACAACAATTGGTTATTTGAAATGCTATTTTTTTTATGACTTATAAATGACATTGGTATTGTTTAAATTATAAGGATATTTGATTGTCAAATTTTTTCTATATATAAAGCTTTTAGCGTTTCAAAATTGCACATCCACTAAAAAGTTTCTAGATCTGCCAATGCTAACAACAACTAGGTATCGAATTCATCACAAAAAATATATAATTTTAGTCATTCACATGAACGAACGTGAGACATCTTCCAACAAAATAAAGACAAATACTACTACCATTCCAAAGCCTAGTTGATTTCTTTCTTTCTTTCTTTTATCAAAAGAGTAGCAATTTGTTGGAGACCTCATGTGATTTTTCTTTCTTTTTCAATTGGAGATACATATAAAAAGTATGACAGTCGAACTTTTGCTGCTTGTGCAAGAGTTCAATGGTAAGGTAAAGTTATAAGTTTATAACTAGGGTGTACATCGGTTCGAAATCAATATAATTTTATCAATTCGCATCTGATCCAATATAGATTGAATTATGATTTTTTCTATCCAATCCAATCATATTAGAGGTTTAAATTCAATTGATATTGAAATGGATGATCGGTTTTCATAATGAAAAAATATAATAATGAAATATGAAACATTTATCATCAAGTTTAACATAATCAACATTTTAAAATGTAAAATATAAATGAAATGCTAGAGAATATTATTTTAATTTTATAATATATCAAACATAACTCCATAAAATTACTTAAAATGTTTATAACTTTCTTAATGAAAATTACTTAATGAGCAAAATAAGCATGAAACTAACTAGATTGGATTGGAGTGAATTTAATGGGATCCTCACAAGCAAATCCATCATCCGATCAAATCATGTCGGTTTTGGAGATTAGGGATCCAATCCAATCCATCAAATCATCAAAACCGATTAATTTTGAATTGCATTGGATTAGATTGAATTAGATCGGTCAATTTGGACAGATTGGATTGGATCTTGCACACCTCTATTTATAACTTTGAATTACTTTACTATCACTTCATCCACACCCATGTCACTTGAGTGAAGGTTGATAAACAATTACCATCTATCTCATCCCATCCATCATGTGTAATTTAGATTGATTTTTTCTTTGTTTGATGATCTATGTTAGATTCCAGACAGAAGGAGTAGTGGTTCACTACTACTAACACCGATATTGTATCCAACTTAATCATCACTTGCTTAGTCCACTATATGTGGGATTTTACTCAAAAAAAACTTCGGCATTATTAATAATGGAACCACACATTATATATTGGATTTATTTGATCAAATTTCTGATATATGAGATTTTTTTTTTTTTATAGTCAAAACCAATATGTGAGACTTTACATTATTCAACATGCCATCTTACATAAGACCGCATATAGTGGACTGTGCGTACAGCCAATGTCACATCGGTTGTTATTGGTACTCTATATGAGGGTCCAGTTAATCAGTCAAGCCCACACTTGAAAACCACATATTAAGTAAAACTATTTGGATCAGGTGAGAACGCTTATGTGAGAACATTACATGAGAACACCGTTGGATCTAATCTAACAGCTGCATGAAAAGCAATTGTAAGTGTAAGTGTTATATTAGAACGAGGGCTTCTTCTCTCTCCTCCCTCCAAAACTTCAAGTCGAAAACAAACGTCCTCTCCAAAACAAACATCCCCTCTAATCCAGTTGTTCGGTTTGTTCAATTAAGTGGCCAATTTTTTATCAGCTTTGATTGAGTAAGACCAATAACACTGAAGATAGAGCGCCCTCTGTTATTCCTTAATCAATTCCAGGAAGAACATAGAAGTATGGCCCTCATTTTTCTGGGTTTCTCATTCAGGCGAAAGAAAGTGTTCGTGTATTTTATATTATCGTCTTTGTGGTTCGGTCTTTTTGGTCGGAACATTCATCAATCCTTGAGCAACGTCTTGAGTTGGAAACTAGTGACCGTGACCATTGTGTTGTTCTCTTGGTTTTGAAATCATTAAGCACAGTCGAAACAGGGGTTAAGGAAGATGAAAAGCGTTTGAGGTTAACGTCCAGATCTAAAAGGGCGACATTGTCATATTTGTAGAAATTTTGAAGTTGGAAATGACTCACGAGGTAAGTGATATACTGTATTTCTCAAGTTTATTATTGGGCATAAGCATGAGTTACATTAGTTTGTATGTAGGTCTTTAATATTTCACCAGAGAATCATTTTCATATCATATGTTAGTTAATATATATATATATATATATATATGTTGAAGCTCTTTACACTGTATTTGTCAAGTTTATTATTGGGCATAAGCATGAGTTATATTAGTTTGTATGTAAGTCTTTAATATTTCACCAGGGAATCATTTTCATATCATCTGTTAGTTAATATATATATTTTAAAGCTCTTTGAAAGCATGTGCCAATGTTGGTATGATGGCAGTGAATTCAAGGTTAAATTGCAAGAACTGTGAAATGGAGTGTGAAAGACAGGTGACACCGGAAGTAAGGTCGGAGTTGAAACCAAAATTGGGACTTGAATTTGATTGATGTGACGATGTGTTTAATTTCTATAATATGTATGCTGCGAAAGTCGGATTCGGCATTCGCTGTTCTACAACGAGAACGTGCACACTGACAAGAGAGGTAACAAGGAAGGAGTATATATGTTGTAAATAGAGGTATTTGTTGGCAAGCACTGTTAGTCGTAAGAGAAGACGACGAGGTTGTACTCGAACTGGTTGCAAGGCTAAACTTGCAATATTGAAGGTGAAAGACAAGAATAAGTACATTGTTGTATGATTCAATGAGGTACACAACCATGACATTACCACAGTTGATAAAGTCCATCTATTGAGATCTAACCGTAACTTAACAGAGTCTACAAAGGTCTATAGTGCACATATGAGCAAAGTTAATATTCATGTACATAAACAGGTAAGCCTTCTTGAGGTGCAAGTAGGGGGATTGGAAAATGTTGAGTTTGTTAAGAGATATGTATATAATTATGTAAGATACGTGCGTGGAGAGGTGATTGGGCATGATGCAGAGCTGCTTAAGGAGCATTTTTTGGCTGAGCAAGAAAAGAATAAATCATTTTATTTCAAGATGGAGGTAGATTTGGAAGGAACGATGGGTAATGTTTTCTCGTCAGATGCAAGGTCAAGACAAGTTTATGGGTTTTTTGGAGATGTGGTGGTATTTGATACAATGTTCAACAAGAATCGCTATGGGATGGTCTTTGCACCTTTGTTAGGCGTTAATAACC